AGTTATGGCTGACCAGCTTCAAACACCACGCTCTTCTGCCACCAGGAGGAGCCTCCTGAGCTTCCTTGCACAGAGAAAGCTGTCACCATGTCCTGCTTCCGTGCAGGTGGGTATCGGACGTTCCTCACACACATGACGATGTGACCTTGTCTTTGGCTCTATGTTCAGGAAAAATGGCAGTGCAGAAAAGGATGTATCCAGACAATACAAAAATGTTTCAAGCTCAAAGAACAAAAATATTTATCAGATTACATGTTTTTAGTTCTTTTCATATTCAGAAATGTTTTACTCTGTATGAATGTGTGAAAGAATTGATCAACATTTGACATGTACCAAAATATAATTGGCTGTACTAGAATGACTGTTTGTGAATCTTTTTGCAGTTTTTTCCAAGTTAAATTTAATCAGAAAATTGTTTCTTTTAATGTAATTATTTGCAGTTTTTTTCACTTCACTGTTATGTTTTTATGGTAAATGAGTGGGAAAAATGATTTAATCCATTTAAAATGTAATCCTCTTCACAAGGTGTAAGAATGTCAATACTTTCTATTTTTTTTTTTATTTAACTATTTTTGTGACTTTACTGGTTTAATATTGAGTTAAATATCAATAGTCTTTATCCACTGTCAATTTTTTCAACAATCAGGAGATGTACTGAGAAGGGGTCAGTCGATACAATTTTCAAATGATAAAACTGAGTAGAACAGTGCACATTTTATTTTAGTCTTTTCATAGAAAACAGCATATATGGAACATCGTGATATGCCATCAGACATCAAGTATTTGTTTTCCTGATTTGAATTTAATAACATTAGCTGTGGTAAAATACTTCCAATATGTCTTCTGGTCTTTGCTACGTACACACAGGTTCTGTGATGCATGCAAGTTTTTCTTCTTTGGATTAATGATCGCAAATTCTCCTGCCCACACTGGGGATGTGTCTCAAAAGAGCTTTTTGTCTGAAAACAAACAAAAGAACCAACGCAGTAAGATGACTTGTCTGTCAGCTCAACAATGAAACAAAACTGTAAGAGTGTGGTGAGCTGAAGAGTCAGGTGATAAGTTCGGCGTTATATTTCTGCAGTCATCAAGGAAATTAAGAATATTGAATTAAAGAAGAATTAGAATACATTTGGTGATGATTAGCTGCAGTCACAAACCAGTCATCTAAAACCTGTGTTTGCATCATTGTCCTGTTTGGGCCAGACTTTACCTGTCAGACAGATGTCCTCACATTAGACCCTTGAATACTTTGGTATATAGAGGACGTTATGGTTTACTCACTGAATATGAAGTGGCCACATCCTGTGAGTGACAAAACAAGCCCAAATCATCACCCCTCCACCACTGTGCTCAGAGTTGGTATGCTGTGTTTGGTTTTCTCCACATGCAGCATTATGACCAAACATCTTCACTTTGGTCTTGTCTGTCCAAAGGTAATTGTTCCAGAAGTCTTGTGATTTGTTCAGATGCAACTTTGCAAATGTAAAACATGGTACCGTGCTATCTTGATGCATGCTAAAATTGATTCTGTTCATCTGGATGTTGTGTTTTCAGTGGGTGAAATGTTCCCTCGCTCATCCAAGGGAATTCTTCACCCTCAGCTAACTGCAAGCTGACGCCACAATTTGCATATTAATGATCTTAAAACTAACCCCTTGGCCCATTGTTAGTCAGCGTTGCTAGTTTCAGTCATTATGCAAATGTAATGCTTATAAGGTTGGGAAAACCTGTAGTCAGATGAGACTGAAGAAGTCCATTCTTTTCTTGTGGCGGTCACAGGTCACATGAAAAGTTGCCAGTTCCTGAAGCAGCCCCTCAGTATAATACTCCCACCCCCGTGTTTCACTATGGGAACAGTGTTCTTTGGGTTGAATGCCTCTTCCTACTTTCTCCAAACATAATTAGCGTCTCTTTGGTCAAAGAGCTCTAGTTTCCCCTTATCTGACCGAAGGATGCACTTCCAGTACACTTAGTCTTTCTCCATGGTGTCCTCAGCATACCTCTGTATGGCTTGAAGGTGTCTACTTCTGCAGAAGTACTTCTGAAGAAGAGTATTTCTTGGTCTGTAACCTTCCTTTGTAAGGTCCTATAGATTGTCTTC